TCAAAATCCCTGCAAATAAGTGTGTTACCCTTTTTGGTGTGCCCACAAATTTTGCTCTATCTTACGTGTCTACTTGTATTGGTCACCATTCTGTGAGTTATGGACTCGCGGTCAGTTATATCTTTTGACCATTGGTTTTTGCCCGCTTTTCCGTGCCACCCTCCACTTCGTTTCGAATGCTTCCACTGGATATGCAAGAAACTGTTGTGTTCTTCTTTCCTTCCCTGGTGAGAATTGTGCCAGTCTTCATAGGGTAAGCTTTTGGAAGAGACGTTGTAATTCTCAGTTCAGTGATGTATTGGATATGTCCAGAATGCAGTTTATGTGTGGATTCAAAGGCATTTCTAATCGTGCTGCTTCCTACTCCCGGCAATGAATCACTTTGGGTTGACTTAAGTTCAAACACTTCGTTGTTTGTGTTGCTTCCGCTGTGGAATACGCGCATTGAACGCACAATACTTCTGAACGAAAAGAATGCTGTACATCTGTGTTGGATTAATGTGAAAAAAGCCAAAATATACTAATCCTATAACGGGATCTGCAACAAGAAGGATAGGGTTACTCTTGAAAATAGAAAAGCAAACCACGTTCGTGAATTTAGTGAGAAAAGAGACTTTTTTAATGTTTGTTTACTTGTGACTCAAGCACGGTTTGATATTCGTCACCTCTGGACAGTTGAAAAACGTTTTCTGAGAGGCCTTAACTACTGCCGAATGTATTTAATGCTCCAGCGGAGACCAGCAAATGAAATATAACAGCCTTTCCAGTCTACCCAATCTGTTATACTGGGAACAGGTTGTTTACCGATTACTAATAGTAATATTGCTTATAATAACAATAATAGTAATAGTACTAGGTGAAGAATCTGGCTCAACTATTTCACTCTTTTTCAGGATATGCTGTTACTGATATCTCGTGAGTAATAATGTCCAGTGAATGATCTTCGGTTGTGTTTGACATTGTTTGACACTTTAAACTTTACTGAATGGCCGATTCCAAACTACCACCATCACACTCCAAACGCAATTACAAAAGCGTTTTGGGAAGCGATATCGTCCTTGAACTTAAAACCTACTGATTAGTTATAGAAATGAGCCGAAAACGAGGTATTCCAAAATATACAAAAAACAATGAACGAAAACTTAATTTACTAAAGGGGAAGAGGGGATGATACCATCCACGGACTCAATGGATATAGCTTCTTGATTGTTTATAGGAACGGTAGAACGATAGGTCCATAGTTTGGGATCTGAAACCCCAGAAAAATATAAACTTAGATACGGACACGCATTGCCATCGATGATCACCGAGCCATCACAGTCTACCACCAGTTACATTTGATTACTACCGATAAAGGAACCGCTCTGTCAACCTGATCCGATAGGGAGTTTACTTCAGTTCTCTTTCTGGTTCATTTTATCCAACTGTTTCTATTGATAGAATTCGTAA